GAAAAGGCTGTCTCCAGCCCCTCGTGAGGGGGGAGCTGGATCAGACCCCGCCTGTCTCTTCCTCCTTCTGTGGCTCCAACTGACTACTTGTAGACTCTCCTTTAGCTGCCCCTTTCATGTCGAGAATAGCCAACAGCCGTTACCTTAAGTGGAAACTGATTCTCTGCATTGGTTTCGTTTGCAGGATTTTAAGCTCGAGTTTGGCCACCATCAAGGCAGGACAAGTTCCGTCTGGCATGGAGGTACAGCTACCATTGTTCAGAGCCCCGGAGACGAAGTATGGGGAATAGTGTGGAAAATGAACGCTAGCAATTTAAGTTCACTGGATAAGTAGGTGACTTAACTTTTGCTGTCTTCTACTATTTTAAAGAGCAATTGAATAGTAGTAGTTAATTTTTGGTAGAGAGCTGTGTGGAAGCTTTGGTGTTGGAATCAAGAAGATGCTTTGAATATGTGAATTTCACTTCACAGTACACGTATTGACTTCTAACACATTTGTGATTAAAATGGCTTTGTTTTCAAGCTAAAGCTACTTAGTGGTATTTTAATAAGGTGTGGACCTTGATTTGAAGCTGATATATTGGTCAGGCTCCTTTTTTTTTTTTTTTTTTTTTTTTTTTTTAATCGCTGTCCTCACAATGTCCTGTCCCTTAAATTAGTCTAAACTCTGTATTTGTCCTGTGACACTTTTCCCGTTGCTTCAGGGAGAGTTTCCTTTGAGACCGACATCAATTTCTGTCTCTATACATCTGTAGACTCCAATTGTAGTGGAAAATGAAGAGATGAGGATGAGACTTTGCAGAAGACGAGATCTTTAATACAGGCAAAGGGACCTTTTGAGGAGGTTATTTTGTATGTCGTCTTTTCTAAGGATTCAGACTTTTGTGAACCTGAGCTGGGGTGGTTTTGTTTTTTCCTTTGAATGGGAGAGGCTGCCTGCACCATTACAATGCATGGAGGAGAATGTTCCACCTCTGCCTGACAACTAAGACAAGTTTAAGGCAACTTGAGCAAGTTGTTCCCAGGCTGAAGTCTGGAGGACCACCTGGGTAAACAAATCAAGGAGCAGCATAACTTCTTGCAGGGTCTAAGGCATGACTTAAACTTAAGCTCCAAAACTTCGGCTGGTGAAATGTGCTTATTGCAGCTTTTGGGATGCGCCTGCATGGCATGGTGCTTCTGGTACACAAGGATTGTTTGTTCAGAGCAGTTCATCACTGTCAATTAATTCCAGCAGAAATCTGGGCTAGTGAGGCTAAGGAAGCAGGGCATATTAAACCCATTGAAAGCGTTACACTAATACAGTTGTTCTGCCTCTGGTACTGTTGCAATTTTGGTTATGGTTGCACTGTGCTGTGTAGACGTGTCCTCATAGCCTTGGCCATGAAACTTGGAAGTTCCAACATGCTTTTCATTGCCTACAGTGAACCTGAAATACAACCGAAACTGTTGCCCAAGTTCTGTTAGCATATCCTGGGAATAGGCACTCTCAGCACTCTCAAGTCCTGGTTGGGAGTGTTAGTCCCAAGCAGGAGGGCATCCACCTGGTATGCTTCTGGTTGGGGAGAGCTTCATGTGTCCCTGCTTTATTATCTCCTCAGGTCCCCCTCTGTTGCTTACGCTGGCACTTATCTCCTGGGCACCTGTCTGCTGGCCTTTACTGAAATCTCCTGATTTACCATGCTTTCCTAAAGCGTAAACTTCAGAAGTATAAAGATGCTGTCTGGTAGCATCTGCTTTGACAGTAACACTGTGTTCCCCCTACGGGGAGAGCATTTTGTATTTTAACTTCTAAAGTGTTGTTTACATACTATAGCATTGCAGATCCCTGGCATTTGTTGGACGGGAGATAAACCTTAATGCTGGCTAAGATGCTAGAGACTTGAGCGCTATACTGTCACCAAAAACTGCAGGATGGACAGTAGCATTAAAGATTGCTTTTTCCCAGCTGCCCCGTTGATGCCATGAAGGTGGACTGGAAATGGAAGGAAACAGGATGGTGTTCTTGGCTTTTGTAACGATAGTCAATAGTGTTCTTCTAAGGATTGCTCCTAACCAACTCAAAAGAGCTTGCATGTGTTCCTGTTGAAGATCTTGGGATTCTTTGGCTGTGCGCAAGCAGATATATTTGTAAGCTCTCAACCAAGTTATTTCCTGGAATTTCCATGTATCAAGACAAATAAATTTCATTATTTGTCGTCCCCCCTTCCTCCGCCAATCTGGATAAAGAAGTCTGTGCTTTGTTATCCAGAAGCAGAGGAGGGAATGTGTAATTGATGCTGCATGTCGATAGTTGAAATACTAGTAAAACAACATAATATAGAGAAAACAAATGCGGGAGGGGAATCTTTTGCTTAGATGGCTGAACTTTTTGGCTTCAAATGCATTTTGGTGCTGTTTTCATGGTCAGATTTTTTTTGGCCTCTGTACTTCACAAATCTATAAGTTACAGAATAAATCGTGACTTTTCCTCATATATCCTAGCAATGGACATTACTTAACTATAATATTTTTCTTGCTCTCACACACCTATGTGACTTATTTTGCAGTCTGTTGGCCTTGAATCCGCAGTTAGCTTCCAGTCTCTACTCCCACTTAACCTAGTTACTCATGTGACGTGGCCCGTGTTACATATGTTAAATAACTTGAAATGGTAGTAAGTCTTTGAAAGAAAGATAAGTAGTCAAAACTACATTTTGATGAGCAGCATTAAAACCCATGTTATCACTCATATCTAAAGCACATCGAAAGTTAATTGTGCTATGAAGTCTGTCTTGTATTACTTAAGCTTCTTGTTTACTTCTTACTATGTCCTCAGACTTTTATTGGTGACTAAATGCTAATGGTTAAAGGGAACAAGTAGCCTTGTTTTTGAGTTTGGTTTTGTTTTCCTAAGACAGCATGATCTTGCTAATAAAAAAATAACAAAATGGGTTTTGCTCTGATCTACCTCATTGCGTTGCTGTACGCATCTCGTACAAATTAAAGGGTGTCTTGGATTATTCATGGGAATGTGCATTGCAAGAGTTGTGCAAGTTTCCCCTTATTCAAATGTAACACAATGGGCAAGGTAAAACTTTGCAATTGTTTCATTATCTGAGTGGAAGGTACTGAATGATATGTGCCTGGCTCATTAATTCTGATAATCTTGGTTGTGTTTCTCTTGTAGATTATCAGACTTGCACAGTAATTAATTCACAAGGAGTATTCTCTCTCTAACTTTGCAAGTTAACCACTAGTCATCTTTCTTGCAGAGCTGTAAGTGAATGCTGCTGCTTCTTTAGAAGCTTATTGTTGGATACGAAACAAGTTTGCACAATAAGTACTGGAATATGTTTTGCTTTATTTGTTTTGTCTTAAGTCTGTTAACAGTGCAGACCAGTGTCCTGCCTTGAATTCTGTTACAATAAATGCATATGTTTAATTGCACAATTTGTTTGAAAGATGCATCAGTTATTCGGCATGAAAGGAATATATGTCCTTTACAGGCAAGAGGGAGTTGAAGATGGCATTTATGTCCCAATAGAAGTTAATGTCCACACTCAAGCAGGAAAGGTACTGACCTGTCGAAGCTACCAGATGAAGGACTATGTCTGTGGTCCCCCTTCTCCTCAGTATAAAAAGGTATGTGTTGCATCACTGTAATTTTGGAAAGAATGAACAGAAATAGAAATGCAGTACTTCTATTTAATAACTACTTTATTTACAGTGCATGGAAGGCATGAATAACTCTAATGTAAAGGTATAACTTAATCTTTGTGCAATGTAATAGTGTAATGATGCTCGCAGAAGATTGCTAGCTCTTAAAGGCCTACTAAATCAGTTTTATTTTTTGGCTTAGTTATGCCTTACATGAAGCCTCTGTTTAACTTGTGAATTAGTTATGACTGACACAAGGATTTCTGAAGGGTGTTGTTTACATATATGCAGCAACTCTCCGTTTGAAAAACGAACGTGCTCTACTAAAAGGACAGAGGGAAGCTTCTGTGGGGAGAGTACAGCGCCTGGCTTGTAGTCTCAAGGACATGGATTATCCCTATTGTCTTATGAAGTATCTTACTATCATTTAATACAGGAGTCCACCTGCCTCCTTTTACCAGATGCATCATCAGTATATCACAGGACTTCCAGCAACATTGCAGAGCACTGCAGGGTTCCCACTTGATGGCTGGTGAGGCAGAGGTGTTTCAACACTGTTCTGCAACACGCTGACTCTATAGAGACATATGATCCAGTCACACAGCAGGCCTGACCTGCTTAGCTTGTGAGATCTGATGTGGGCCTAGCCTCGGGTGGCATGACTGCATGTCTGGAATTGTGCAGCTATTAGCAATTGCAGATAGACGTAACTGTAACATGTTGACTTTTTCTACTGAAAGCAAAGAAACAGGGCTTGAGCTTGTTAAATCCCAAGTGTGCCGCCTTCTCTTAACTGAGGAACTCGCTTCTGTGAATCAGCTTCCAGGGGCATAGCTAAGGCCAGCTATGGCAGGACTTCTGAAGAGAAAGCTTGCTTAGAAAGCAGGCTCTGCTGCTTCACAAACCTCCTCCCTGCCAACCCGCTTTCTGTCAAGACAGATCTTTAGGGCTTTTCAGGGAGTTAATACGTAGTCTGCTGCTGTGTGTCAGCTCTCACTAGTACGCTGCAAGAGCAGACCTCCAATACTGGCAACTTTATCTAGCTAAACATTCCCTCCTGCTGTTGTCAGGGTCAGTTGTTGGTTCTCTTCTCCTCCCCCTGCTCCCAGCTTTTATTTGTTTAAGTTAACCAGGCAGGAAGGCTAAAAATTTAGTACAGGTGACTGCATCGGCACAGAGTGATCTACGTCCATCTACTGTTGCGTACTTTTTGTGGCAAAGTTCCTCCTTTCTAGACACCTCATCCTTGAATTTCCTGGCTGTTGAATGCATGAAAGAATATTTACAATAGTGTCAGCTTTGAAAATCTGTGTATTTATCTATTCATTCCTATATGGGAGCTTGCTGGTGTCTCTTTCGAGCCTTGGCTCCTACAGCCCGCTCTTTTCCTCTCACTGTCACTTCTTTTCTCTTGCACCAATACTTCAGTTTATTTTGGATGTAGAAGGAAAGCTGCAGTAACAAACTCTAAGGAATTTGTGCTTTTTCACTAAGCTAAGTATCTGTTTCTGTTACTCCTATAACCTGTCTAGGTACTCACTGTTGTGCTTTGGATTCGAACAGCTTAGTTTTAAAAATAACTTCAATAATATACACTGCTTCTCACTCAGATGTGATACTAAGGCTGGCTAAAGGCATAAAAAGTAGTTCTCATCTTCGCTGGAAGAAAGAATGGAATAACTGAGTAACAGCTTAATTGTACAGTCTTGTGTGCATTAGTAACATTTCAGAATCTTAGGGGTATGCCTTAATAGTTACAAGCCTTTTCTAAGTAATTTTGTTGACACTATTAAGGTCTTCAGTGGTCTTCCAGAAGCCTTTGGCTATCTTTAGGTACAAATAGCATTATTTGGGATTAATTCTCTTGTTACCTTAAGTGGTTCTTCCCCTCCGAGTAAATGTTTGGAGGGGGTCTGTCCTTCCTAACACTATTATTGAAGGATTTTTTTTTTCCCCCATTTGATTATAGGTTATCTGCATGGGTGCGAAACAGAATGGCTTGCCAACTGAATATCAGAAGAAATTAGAAGCTATTGAAACTAATAACTATGCAGGGCCGCTGCCAATCATGGAAGAGATTGAAGCTGCTATTGAAGCAAAGAAAAGTTCTGCGTAGAATACTTCTGCACTTCCTTGGCCATTCACCTTGATTTAGATACCTCTCCTCACTGTGCTGATCAGCAGTTTCTTTATTTATCAAGAGAAGATGAGTTTGCTGTGCATCTACAGTAAGCCATTAGACATAATTTGCAGTCTGAAGACACACAGAGATTGGTAACTTCTTCGCTTTGTATATATAGCTTGAGTACATGCTGAAGTTTTTGCAGATTTGGAAATTACCTTTTTGTAGTTGTCATGCAGTGCTGCACGCAAGTTTGTGCATCATGTCCTGTTTACAGACCTTTTTAAAAGAAGGCGGCCATCTTGCCGGGTATTGGCATCTGTTGCCTTCTGAGGAATAAGGGCTGCAGGCTCAGGCCCTTTGTTTTTAAATGTTGTATACACAATTATCAAGAATTTCAAAGATTTGTTAGAGTGGAAAGTAGACTCAAAACTCTAAACCAAGACTAAACTTTTTTTTCTCTGCTGCTTCTCTTAATGGTTTAAAGCCCAACCTATCCTTCAGATGTACCTTCAGTATGGAGCTCCTGTTTCTGTTTATATAGTTAGTAAAGAAAGCAGAGTAATTTTTGGTAACTGTCTCTGTTTTTAAGTGTTAGTCCAAAAGGCAACCAAGGCCTGAAGACAACATTCAGCAAAGGGTCTCATTCAAAGCATAATGGCCACCTCCTTTCTATGTCTAGTAATCATTATAGGTGAACTGGTTAGGTATAACCAACAGATTTTGAAGAATTTGGTTCTTTTAGGTAATTCCAAGGTTTTTTAAATTACCTTTTTGACTGGCGTGTTGTAGGCCTTGGTCTCATGTCCAGTGAAATCAGGAAGTCTCCTGTGAGTCCTAGTGCTTTTGTTTGTCTATTAAACCCCAGATGAACAGACTTCACCTCTCTTTCCCCCTCTGCCCCCTGCCCCCAGCTTTGACAATCATCTCCTGCAAAACTGGAAGCTCTTGTAAGGTTTAGAGTACTTAACTTATCTTTATGGTACTCAGCAGCCCCTGTAGGTAGTCTATGGGGGACAAGGAAAATTTGACAACCTGGAAGATGTCAAACAACCAAACTTTGGCTTATCTTCTGTATGGTGTATTTTTTTTTTCTCTTGATGTACAGAGGGGTGTAAGGTCTAATCAGTGTCACTGTGCGAATGCTTAGATAGACAAATGACAAAGTAACAGACTTACCATGTCTTCTCTGCATAAAATTTTTCTGTAAACTTCTGCCAGGGGTGTCTAGGTGCTGTCCTGATGCCACACGCCCATTTCAAGAGTTGGGCACTGTGGCTGCAGTAAAACATGGTACTTTCTGTATTAGCACTGTCTGGTCTGAAACTGGGTAAATAAAATTGCAGTTACCAAACCTCTCCCGTGTCTGTTCAACGCATGCTTCAAGAATATTGGTGTGGCTTATGTAAGTGAAAGCTGGCAATATGGAAATGTAACTGAAACGTCCATTGGCTATTTGCATTTTGAATGGATGCAGTTTTGGTACGGAGGGCAAAACTGTGCACGAACACGCTCCTCAACATCACTTCTTTTGCTTTACCCTTACCAGGCTCCTTTTGGCCTTTTGAACTTTTCCATTTTCTTCTTGCAACAGTAAAATACCTATGTAAAATAATACCCTGACAGCCTCCTTGGAGGGAGCTGACAGGAGGTACTTGATGCCTCCCGCTGAGGAAAATGGTGGGAGCTCCTGAAGGCCGGGGGAAGGCCGCCTCCCCTGAGGCGGGACCCCCGGCACCTCTCTCGGGGGAAGAGGCCTTCCGCCACGTCGGTGAGGAGAGGGAAAGGCGGGGTTCGTGAGGGAGAAGAGGCCTTCGGCCATACCTGCGTGGGGAGGGGCCGCTTCCC